GCACTCTACCCAGGGGGACAGCTTGAGGCTCTGTCTCAAAAAACAAACAAACAAAAGTCTAAGAGTTTGAGGTTGCTGTGAGACACCATGGCACTCTACCCAGGGTGGTAAAGTGAAACTCTGCCTCAAAAAAAAAAAAAAAAGACTAGTAGGCTTGGCTCCCATAGCTCAGTGAGTAGGGTGCTGGCCACATACACTGAAGCTGGCGGGATCAAGTCCGGCCCAGGCTTGCTAAACAACAGTGACAACTGCAACCAAAAAAATAGCCAGGTGTTGTAACAGGCACCTGTAGTCCTAGCTACTCAGGAGGCAAGAAAATCGCTTAAGCCCAAGAGTTTGAGATTGTTGTTAGCTGTGATGTTTGGCACTCTACCGAGGGCAACATAGTGAGACTCCATGTCAAAAAAAAAAAAAAGATTTTTTAAATGAATGCTAACTTCAATCTTACTGTTTTAAATGCTAGAAATACCTAAGCAGGGCAGAATAAAGTCCTGATACTTTTTCTTTTCTTTTCTTTTTTTTTTTTTTTGAGACAGTCTCACTTTATCACCCTCAGTAGAGTGCTATGTCATCACAGCTCGCAGCAACCTCAACCTCAAACTCTTGGGCTTATGCAATTTTTTTTGCTTCAACCTCTAAAATAGCTGGGTCTACAGGCGCCTGCCACACCGCCCAGCTGTTTTCTAGAGATGGGGGTCACATTCTGGCTCAGGCTGGTCTTGAACTTGTGAGCTCAGGCAATCCACCCACCTTGAACTCCCAGAGTGCTAGGATACTTTTTCTTCTTTTACAGTGTAGACTCTGTTCCACAAGTAAGATCATAATAATAACAATTGTACTATTAATATTTATATAAAAATTTTTGTAATGGTTGTGAGTCATAGTAATCTTTTTTGTAAAAGTATCGTTTTGTAAAATTGTAGAGTATATCCCAGTTGATATAATCATGTTGTTGTTTATTTTTGACACTGTAGGATTCAAGTCAGCCAGAGAAGTTAAGTGTCTTCTCAACCTAAATAAGTATCTATATTTAGGTTTTTAAAAATGATCATAAATACGTCACATTATATGTCTGTTATTATTTTGCTTTCTTTTTTTTTTTTTTTTTTTTGAGACAGAGCCTCAAGCTGTCCCCCTGGGCAGAGTGCCGTGGCATTACAGCTCACAGCGACCTCCAACTCCTGGG